CACCTAGAATGACACACACAACAATGGATTGGAACACTACCACCTGCAAGTTTACCTGCAAACTCTGCACGAACCTGACCTGAAATTATAACTATATTACCATCCCTTCACACTTGCTAGGTCATACAGTAGTCCTGGAGCTCCTTTCACAATACCCTGTTGGTTTACCATACACAGATAAACTGCAGTGGTTCAGGAAGAGAGCACCCCACCACCTCTTAAAGTGTAAATAAATGTCGACCTGATTACTGACGTTTGGATCCCATAAACAAATTAACAAAAAAAAGTCTGCGATGGATTTAAATCCATATTCTAGAGATTAACGAATATGAGTCCTTATTCATATGTTAAAAACCTTGTTTCTAAGTACTCTTTCTGCCAACATCTTTTTATTTTAAATTTCTATGACTGCATTTGTAATGGAAACTGTTTAAACTAAACACGTCATAATGATGTCTCTCGCAGTAGTTAATTTCTAAACCAGAGACTATGCAGCATTCTCATCATGTTGCTTGATATGAAAACAGCATTTTAGTCCTCAGATTCAGTTTCCAGAAGCTATGTTTTGCTCTAACCAAATAAGAAGAAATACCTGAAATACCCTCTCATTCTTTTAAATGTCCATCGTCTTCAATTATTTTGGACAAATTTGTTCAATGCTGCAGATTAGAATCCAATTAATTGCATTGCAGTTTAGATTTTATACTGCTATGTATTCTTTCAAAACTGAGCAGTTATTTTAGAAACAGTTATGATATTAATAAAAGCCTGTCATTTTGACTCTCCTCTAGATTGTTTTGAAGCTGGCATTGATGAACTTTTTAATGTTTGCAGCACCCACCATGACCGACCTATGTGCCGGATTTGCCATGAAGGCAGCAACCAGGAAGATCTGCTCTCCCCCTGCGAATGTACAGGAACTCTAGGAACTATTCATAGAAGCTGCCTAGAGCACTGGCTTTCTTCTTCAAACACCAGTTACTGTGAACTCTGCCACTTCAAGTTTTCAGTGGAGCGTAAACCTAGACCATTAATAGAGGTCAGTATGTCATTCCTGTCTGCAGAAACTGGGATACCAAAAATAGCTCCAGACATGCAGCAATTAATTTGCGTAACTTATCAAATAAAGTATGATTGTGTAAATCTGAGGTGGCAGATAAACTTCTGTTCAAATCAGGCACAGAATTGTCTTCAAGGATGAGTTCTCCAGTTTGGTCAAAGTACATGTTGCAGTAACATAGGGGAAGCTTGATTCCTTGTTTAACATGAGCTAAACCCTGATAATTACATTGAGGGCCTGAAAGGAACAGTGTTTTCTTCTTGGTGTGAATATCCATCACTTTAATGAACACAGATTTTAGAGTTTTTCGAAAATGATTTCTATTGTCTAACCAGTACAATCAGGAACAACCAGTTTCCCTGTGAATTCTCATTCTCTAAAATAAAGGTCTCAATTCAAATTTCTTTCATGACCTCTCGCAGCCTGTTAGGATGCCTTCAGACTTAAATTTTGTTCAAATATTCACACATAGAAAGTATACCACTAAAGCATACTACAACGTTAGTATTTGAAACTGCGGGTTTTGTACTTTGCCAAGTTTCATTTTTCTGACTCCTAAGAATGCCCCTGTATAACAGTGAGTATTCAATAAATGTTTGCACTGTTTAGTTATAATATCTTCTAAAATCATTATTTTTATTCTCAGCATTATCTGCTCTCTTTAGAATAGTGCTCCTTTATATTTTTTTAAAAATTTTGCTCATCTTTAAAACAGAAAAAATAACAGAATGTAGGTCTTATATTGGTCGATGTTTGCACTGAAAGAATTATCCAAAGATTTCTGAACTAATTGCCAATCAGAAAAGAGATTTGAAAGTGTTTATCCGAAACAGATTACACATGAAAGAGAGGGCTGTTGTGGTCCACTGGTAGTGTCCCTACCTCTGGGCCAAGAGGCCTGGGTTCAAGTCCCACTTGTATCAGAGGTGAATAATAACATCTCTGAACAGGTTAATTAGAAAACATCTGTATGTAAAAAGAGAGGGAAATGTGTCATTTATGTTCTTTGGACCACATCATACCTCACCAGACCTTGTTTTCATATCAAAACTGCTCACTACCCATTTATCATCCTGAACATCAAGAATAATTGCCTGGGTTTCTTTACTGCAATGCAAGCCATCTTCTTAAAGCCTCTTTCCCCTCCTCCCATCTGTACCCTCAGCATTTATAAAGAGCCCATTTATTTCTTCTTCACTGGTATTGAGGCCACATGTTCAGCTGACTTTACCACATCCCCCACTCTCTTGCACCAGTCTCAAAATTATTTTTACAGTTTCACTCGTATCTTATTTATGGAATCTATCTCCTTTTCTTTGGACTTCATTCTCATTAGACTTCTGACCATTTAAATACTGTTCCTAGCCCCCATAATAGCCAACATTAAAATAGTCACTGTTTCACCCACCACCCTCTTCTAACTCCATAATCATCACTCCCTATTCAAAAACAAAACATACTGTATCCCTCTGACTTTCTGAACTGCATCTCCAACCTTTGACTGCCCAAGTCCTTGAACCTACTGTGATTTACCAGTTCCATATTCAATCTTGCATACCTCTTCACCAGCCCTGCCATAGCACTGAAATGGCCCTGATCAAAGTCACAAAAACACATTCAGTGATTGTCCCACCTCATCCATCACAATCTGTTTGCAGACTGACATCCAGAAACGTCATCGTCCTCCAGAACCTTTCCTCTGCCTAGCTTAGTTTTACTGTCTCACTTGACTCTTCTTTTAGCAACAGCACCCCCTAATTTCTTTTCTTATTCAATCATTATTAATGCCGGTTGCCAAGGATCATTCCTTGGCCACTCCCTTTTTTTTATTCTACATGCTACCCTTTGGTCACATCAACTAATGTCATGAATCAGGTTCCTATATATGTCAACAACATTCAGCTTGTATTTGTTCCTTTATTTCATCAGTCTGCTTGTCTGCCACCTTGTCCTGAATTAACTGCAAGTTCCTCCAATTTAATTTGAAGAGGCCAAAGGCACTATCGGTGCCAGCAACAAACACATCCTGGACAGAAATTCCATTCCCCATTCCAGTTTCTATCTTCAATTCACACGACTTTTGTAACATATTTGATCTTGAATTGAATTTGTTTTGTCTTTGCCAGAAATGCAATCTTCTTCAACTTTGTAATATTGCCTGTCCAAGGTCATATTTGTGGTAACCTCCTCATTGTTTAAATATTTTTAAGCCATAACTGACTCCATTGTCTTCTATACTTCTGTGTATAACTGAAGAGTCCAAAGTGAGATCAGCATTCTCATGTACACAGTTGGTTGGTCATGTTGTTTTGTTGGAAATCTAGGAAACTTCTGCAGTTATGCTACTCTGGTTTCCTCTGGGCACGTCGGATGTTGAGAATTTGATGTAGCTGGTCTTTTAAATGTGCTGAACCAAGTTTCATTATGTATATTCACATGGACCGTCAGCTGCAGTGTTTCACTAAGAAAGGTGATCTGCAATCCTGAGTTTGTTAGACATTTCAGTGAGGATGTCCTTCTAACAATTTGTGCTGACCACCCTGATAATGTTTGTTTTGCGGTAGATCTGCATAGAAGATCTGCCTGGGAATTCTGAAGTCATCTATCTGGGAATCATGGCCTGTTCATCTAAGTCGAATTTTCTTGTGGGTGGTTACCATGCTCTTGAGACTAATGCAATGAAGGACACTGTTGACTGGGAGAACAAAAAAAAACACATTGAATTCTCAGCATGGATCACGTGTTTCTTTGCTGTAAATTTTCAAGGGCTTTGCTTTCGTGGGGAAATGGCAGCATCATGGTAATTCCACTGGACTAGCAATCCAGAGACTAAGGCTAATGCTCTAGGAATATGGATTCAAATCCCACAGCAACTGGTGAGATTTAAACTTAATAAGTACACAAGTGGCTTTTTCTACAAACAGGATGCTGTCATTAAGCCAAAGAGATGTTTTGCTAACCGCACAAATGAGTAAAATGAGTTTCAGTACCAATGTGATACTAGGTGTATAGACTGTACATCCTAACAACCATCCTAACAATCATGTATCAAACAACATGACCCATTGATCATTCTCACCAAGCGGTAGATTGATCCTGCTTAACCAGCTTGCAAGCCTAAGAAACATATATCCATAATTAGATGGGATTCTGCTATTGGAAATCACTGATTAAATAATCTGAGTGGTGCTAAGATTTATGCTAGAAATCAAACTAAAAATCATCAGTCATGCTCATAATGTGATGCATTTGTGCTACCCATATAAATACGCAGGACTGTTCATGTACGCAGAAAGAAACAAAAAGTGTCATGTTTAAAGCCAGTCGCTGCTGCAACCGTATGGAAACCTGTGACCAAGCAGGGTCTACTGCCTGGTCTGAGAATAAATATAAATGGTTACCTGTCCTTATTGCATCTCCTTACCCAAAAAAAAAGCCCAACCAATCAGTCTCCTCTTCTCATGCTGTATAAAATGGTGTCCCTTTGTTCAAGTCTTACATCCTGGTTCCAATGAGTGCAAAATTAAATGCTTCAAGTTCTCTGTCTCCTTTTAGCAATGTTTAAATTCTGTACTACCAAGCAATAATTAAAATTCAATGAATAAACAAATGTGGAATTAAAGGCTCATTGCAGTAGTGGGGGCTATGAAACAATCATCTTAAAAACCCATCTGGTTCACAAATGTCCTTTTAGAGAAGGAAATATGTCATCCTTACCAGGCCTATATGTGACTGAAGACCCATCACAATGTTGCTTTCAGTTGCTTTCAGAAAAGGCCCAGTAAGCTACTCAGTTCAAGAGCGATTGAGAAAGGGCAACAAATGCTGGTCTTGTCGATCACATCCATATTTCACGAATAGATGCAGAAAAGAAGAACCAGGTACCTGTAGCTCACCCAGGATTCTGTTCCTAGTGTCAAAAAGGCTTGGTAGAGTTTCATTTTAGCCCAATATCATTCTGTTTTCAGACATGACCATGGAGTCGGCGGTAGTAGAGCTTTCTGAATCAATAGTGGCATCCTGGAGTGCACTATACTGCGGGATGAGAATTTTTATACATCTTTGAGCCTGTGCCATCAACAGTAGCAAGGTCAAAGCCAGTAACAGGGTTTCTGATGAATTTAACATCTGCCTCAGGCTCTGCCTTATGAGTAACTTTTTGATGTTTAGGCTGAATCTATAGGCTCAACTTGGTGTGGATCAGATGGTGGTCTATCTAAGAGTAAAGTTTTTGCATAGCATGAGTTAATTTGACATCAGCCTTTTTCTCCCATCTAACTAGTACATAGTCTAGGAGTTCCCAACACTTAAATCATGGACGTTGCCAAGTTGTCCTGTATTTTCTGTCAAACCTATACCCATGTCTAATGGCAGCTATAAATTACAATTCCAATGTCATCTTTGGCACCTTCATTTTTTTCAATCCCTGCAAAACTCTGTTGTGTACATCATATCCTTCACCAATTCCCATTCAACCATCACTCCATGCTCCCTGACCTAACTGATTCCTGGTTCTCCAATAGGAATGTTTTACAGCTCTCATCTTCTTGCTTAAACCCTCATGACCTACTCCTTGTTTTTGTAACCATCACCAGTCCAACCACGGAGAAATTTGCATTGCTGTAACAAACTCCAGTCCCTGAATCTTTCTGCCTCTGTATCACTTTTTTTCCTTTATGACCCATCTCAATATTCAACTCTTTGGTCAAACCTTTAGTCACCCCTCTTAATAGCTTCTTGTTGATTTCAATGTTGTTTCTAATTCCTACTTTTCTTCACCGAAGTGTAAAATGTTCTGTTGCGTGTACTTTATATATTTGAACAGATACACACACACCAGAAAACCATGCTGTTAACTAATTAATTGTGTAAAACAAAAATGCTTTTCAGGATTCCATTTCCACTTGGAAATCGTCGGGTTTTCCTACTTCTTGCCAGGTAACATGGATGTTTTCTCACCATTCATGGGCTGTTGTTGTCACTCAGTTGGTAATTATGTATCAGCTGCTGATTGACTAACTGTCTGTGTCTTCTTAGAGCAATAATTCTGGTAAAGTGGTAAGCACAACGCTTGAATGTTTTACTTTTCTTCTGGGTCTTCTGGTCTGAACTGCACTCCTGCAACCATTTTCCCAGATTGACCAGTCATGGCACCTTGTTCTCTCTACCACCTTTACTAGTTTGAGATATTAAGTGAGGCTTGATTAAGATAGCTTTTTGCCACCAATTCCCTTTTGTGTTTGCTTTGTCTTGGATCTATCTAGAGAGGCTACATCGACATTTTTTTTTGCAAGAAGCAGTGTTCTTAAAGAACAATAAGATTTATTTCAGAATAGCAGAGAGTACAACTACAGTTGGTCAAACATAACTACCATGACTTTTTGGGAGCTAGTACAGATGCATCTGCTTTCTGAAAGCTACAGTAGAACTTGTTGACTCCACCCACAGAATTAATGACATCAGTGGAATCCTCTTGGTCCAGTTCATTTCTTGGTGAGTGGTAACTCAGGTTGTTCATGGGGTATTCAGTGACAGCAATGCCATTGAATGCCAAAATGAGATGGCTACATCTGTTTTGTTGAAGTTAGTTATTCCCTGACACTTAGGCGTGAATGATAGAAATTTTCTTTTTGGGAGTAAGGGAGGAGATTTAATAGATAAATTCAAATTTGATTGAATTTTGGAAGAATAATTAAGGTGCTCCAGGCAAAACATGAAATTCTTGTTACCAGAGGATTTAGCATCACTCATGAAGATTTTGATGAGCCAAGATGGATGTCAGTTTGTAGCGTATGGATAGCTTTTGGAATGGCAGTCCAAACCACAGGTATACGTGGAAAGACTGAGAAAGTCTGATTCAGAAAGGCAAAAATAGTAAGCTCTGGACAGAATGAAAAAAAAAATTCTGGGACAGAGCGAAGAAACCAGAAGTATATCAGAGGGAAAGAGCATAGATAAGGAAGTCTGTTGAGCAGCAGATATAAGTATAAAGGGTGAAGACGAAAAACAGTAGATTTCCATTAAAATAAAACCATGAGAGAACAACAGAGATGGAGAGCGGCGTGAAAAAGTAGTGGAAATTAACTTGAAGCGTAATTGAAATGTGAGGGCGGGAACATTCAGTGGCCAATTCTTTTCATTTCTCATCACCTCATCTTGCCCCCTCCAAGGACAGAAAAATTCCAGACTAGGAATAGAGATCAGAATTGTGTGCCATGAAAAGACTTAGCAGGATTGGCAGCATCTGTAGAGAGAAACACAGTTAACATTTTGAGTCCAATGTTACTGTTAAGATGTAGAAATGTGATGCTGTTGTGAGAAGGGGAGGATCAGATCGAACAAAGAGGAAACGTTTGGGAGAGGGAGAGATTAAAAGATGTTATGAAACAAGAGGCAACATGTCGTTATGACTATAGTAAAGAAACAAAGTGTTATCACTTAACTTCCAAAATGTCTGGTTTTAGCTCAATAGTTGATCAACGTCCCATAAGTAATAATTGCTCTTGACACATAATAGATAGTTCAATTTTTGACATTTATGTAAAAGTAGAAAAGGCTTGTTGATATTTCTGGAACCACGATTTGTAAATACATAACTTTATTCAGCCGAAGTTCGAAACTAACATGGGTGGTTTTAAATTTCCGAGGTGAGCTCAACTCAGCTTAAGCAACACACCTGACATAAATGTTTCTGCAAGCTTCCTTTAATTAGCGTGCCTTCAGTTCATCTCCAGGAGGCTGCCCTGTTTCATTGAGTTGTCGATCAATTGGAGGCTTGCAGTTCTGCACACTGGCAGCACCATTCAGATACAGTTGTCATTGCTGTTAGCAGAATGTAAGAAATAGGAGCTATTCAGTCCTTGTTGTCTGCTCCACCATTCAAGGGATCATAGTTGAGCTTTTATTTGATCATTTTTCTGCACTGTTCCTGATATATTTATGTATAGAAATTTATTGATCTCAATCTTGAACATACTCAAAGATTTGAGCCTCCACAGACTTCTGGGGCAGAAAAGTCTAAACTTTCAACATCCTCTGAAGAAATCCTTCTCATCTCAAGCCTGAGTGCCTGTCCCTTGTTGTGAGATGGTATTCCTTGACTGTCTGAACAAGAGTTTTGAAGAAGTTCTGAAGAAGATTCATACCGAACTTGAAATGTTAACTCTGTTAATCTGTCCACAGATGCTGCCAGACTCGCTGAGTTACTCCAGATTTCTGTGTTTGTTTCAGATTTCCAGCACCCACAGAACTTCAGACTTATTTGACATCTGTATGTGAAGGAGCCAAATTCAATGCAGCAAATCTGCTAGTATGGAATTGAGCTGAAGCCTTATTTAGAATGGTTTGAGATTGCAGATCCACAAGTAAAAATGAAGGCCTTCATGAAAGAAAACTTGAACTAATATGAATTAATATCCTTTAAGGTTTCTGGTAGTTTAGGGTGCATGGAAGGAGCTGTATTGCATCGTACAGTACAGGAGTATCTCGCATTTAAATTTCAAATAAATCATCGCTTTCTTTAGTTTGTGTGGTGACTGTCAGAGGGCTGAACAGAGGAAGCAAACAACAAATTTGCTGAAATCAATTAGAATTAAGGTTTTGACTTTTTTTCTGTCTCCCCTTTTTCGCCCCAATTCAGTGGCTAAGAAATCCAGGCCCTCAACATGAGAAGCGGACTTTGTTTGGAGATATTGTGTGCTTCCTGTTTATAACCCCACTAGCCACAATTTCTGGTTGGCTGTGTTTGCGAGGTGCAGTGGACCATCTACACTTCAGCAGCCGACTAGAAGCAGTTGGACTCATTGCATTAACTACTGCACTCTTCACTATTTATCTATTTTGGACTTTAGTAAGTACAAATTACTTTTTCTTGTAAACATGATTTACATCAATCATTTCATCATGGTTGGAACATAATGGTCTTCGTATGTTATACCCATCACTAAACATACTGAAGCCAAGAATCATGAGACCGCCGCTCTCTCAATTGATGTGCTTTATTTTGTGGAAGAACTTCCTTGACTCAATATATGCTCCCATCTCTTCCTTAATTAATTTGCAGTGACTGTTTACAAGGAACCCTTTTATGTTTCATAATTTTTTAAAATCATGACCCTAACATCACTCTTCTCAACTTACTACTATAATCCTCATGTACTTCCTAATCACTAATTATGCTATTAGTCCCTAAGTTTTAGACAGAGCACAACATAGTTCATATTTTTCTATATTCTAGCTGTGCCTCAGCCTCTATGCAGTCTACTCATATTATGAGAAACACAGCACCCTTCTCGATGCCATGTTCCAATATAACTTTTAGTTCTGAGAGATTTGATTTAGTAAGACCATAAAACATAGGAACAGAAACAGGCCACCTAGCCAATGAAGTCTGCTCCACCGTACAATGAGATCATGCCTGATGTAGTGAACCTCAACTCCACTTTTCTTCCTTTTCTCAATAACCCTTGGTTTTCTTACTGATGAAAAATCTGTCCATCTCAGCCTTGAGTATATTTAGTAACCCTGCCTTAACAGCTCTCTATGGTAAAGAATTCCAAAGATTCCCAACCCTCTGAAAGAAGAAACTTTAAGTTTCAAAAAGAGAGTTCACCTTTAAGGACTCCATGTACTGTGTGTATATATAATGTTGTGACTCAGCTTGGCAATTGTCCTGGTCTTTGTTTGCAAACTATGCTACAGAAATCAGTGGGTTTGCTGCTATCTCTGCCTCATAAATTAGAATGTGTTTTACTGTTTAAAAAAAATTAATTCCTTGAAGTACATTATCCTCAGTTCCCTCTTATAATGCACTAATTTGCTAGTCCTTGGTTTGGAAATTCCCATCACCATTACCACCCTCTGAAACTTCTCCACATCTTCTCCATCTTTTAAAATTTAAAATTGTTGCTTTGTAGTTTGCCGTTTTAGTCAGTCTTTTTGGACCTATCCCAATATTTCTTTTTGTATTTTTGTCATTTTCCGTCTCGTTATGATACTTCGAAGCACTTCAGGATGCTTTTCTACTTCAAAGGTATTTGATAAATGCAAGTTGTTGCTTGATCGAAAATCATTCCTTAACTAGATGAAGGAGTAAACTTTTCTTATTCCCTAAAGCTTTCTGAGTGGTGTACTGTTTCAAGTTTGGCTTATTGTAGGATATGAGAGAATTTTTTTGTGCTAAATTTACTTTAACCCCTCTAGGTTTCATTCCGTTACCACTGTCGATTGTACAATGAGTGGCGTCGAACCAATCAACGAATTATACTGCTTATACCAAAGTCAGCAGATGCATCACCTTCTCAGCAATTACTTCTTGATCTGCATCCAATGAAAAGGAACTCAAAAGAGACAATTGTATGACATATGTCAGTCTCTTTGAATTTTCAATGTAGAATCCTATGAGCTCTAACCAAAGATAATTAACTTAGTCTGCTACCTATCTTCAAAGGTTAGCCTGGTTCGCAATGCAGCAACTTAATGAAATTTGGAGGAACTGGATTACATTGCCAGTTTTTCTTAAAATTCTGTAATCTTTATTACTATAATAAGGCCTACAATATAATCCTTTATACTATCATTACTGATGATACTTGGTATTTAGTTTTATTTTAATGTCAGATAATGTCGTATGGATTCTTGTTTTCCCCCAATTAATTGGGTAATATTTTTAATGTGCTTGTCAGTGTCAGTTGTTATTCTTGGAATTGAGACTGATGGATCACTTAAAGTTTCTATGCAGAAAATGATCAGATTCACCATTTTTGTTTTAATTTCCAAACAATAATTGGTTAGCACATAATTTGTTATGGGGAGTGACACAATTTTAAAGTGAAACTTTTATGAGAATTATTTTTGGTTTACTATCCTAAAGCTTAATGTGTTCACAAAATTATCCAGGTGTGATGATAATTGAATTATCTGTTGATTGAGTTACTCAGTTGATGGACACTTTGAATTTTTTTCAATTACATTCTGATGGAATGGATTATTGGACAGACCTGACAAATTATGTATTTAATTACATTCATTATCCTAAGCAATACTAAGTTTGCTGCATAATTATGCATCATTTTTATCTTTGATGCTTGACTACACATGTTGCATTTGATATAGTGGACTTCTATTTAAAATAGCACTGTTTTATTTTATTTTGTATTGGAAATATTTCTTTAAATCAATACACTGCTTCTGTAGTCCAGAATAAGTTTAAGTATCTGCTTACATTATTTGCCAAATTGCGAATTAGCGTATCTGAAAATACTTGGATCCTATCTTGTATGTATAATTAAGTATTGAAATATTTAAGTCAAATGAGACATTCTACCACCGAAATTAAATCTGAGTTTATTGTAATTAGCATGCAGTACTAGAAGATGTTCATTTATGCTATTAAGTCAAACATGATTACATAACAATGTATTGCTAATATAGTGACTAAAAAACTTATCGTTTTCTCAAAATAGCAGGCAAAATTTAAAAGTTATTATTTTTGATTCTGACATTCATCAAGTTGTTTTAATTTCCAAAATTGTGTGACTTCTGAAACACTCATATTTTTCTGCAGCGTTGAAATAACATAAGGTGAAACAAACATTATCAGTCAAACATTCAAGGAGGCAACATTTAATTTGCGTGTATTGATTTTAAGTTAAAAGTTATTTGTACTGTCAATTTAGAAATGCCTGAGTCTGATACAAAATTTTAACTGACCTGAAAATTAGGTATGATAAATTTAGCATATGCAAAACATTAGGGATAAATGCAATAGAGGGAACAAGATATTGTCTCCTTCTAAACTCAAGTGTTGATTCTTAACACTCTAAATTTCTACCTCCAGGCAAGTATGTATAAAGAAAGATGCCATCCATATTGTGACATCTTGTTAAATCCTTATACATTTCAGGTATCTCACATAAGTAATATGATTTTATTTTTGCCTTAATGTATGTTTAAATCTTTCAAGATGCTCAAGTGCAGGATTTGAGGGAAGAGAAATGTCTTTTTGGAATTTGATGCCAATGTATTTCAAGAATGTGGATCAAGTCTGTGGTCATGACTTTGTTACTCATACTTTCTCAGAACCTCTCATGGCCTGAATGAATTTACTATTCAGCAAAACTTTAGTTTTGTGCACAACAATGCATGTTCAGTTTTGAAACTGTAATAATTTATTTACAGCTTTTGTATTAACCAGCAACATTAGATATTGAAATAAATTCTGAAGTACAAAAATGATGTCCTTCGATAATTATCTTTCACTCTTTTTTCTATCCTTATTGGTAAAACATAAATTATGTCATTTCTCCTTTTGAGTGATATTGTGCAATTATTAAAAACATGAGTTCGAATCATAGGATGATATCGCACAAGTGGGAGTCATTCAGTCCATTATGTCTGTGATAGCTTTTTGTTGAAACTCTCTAATCGCCACTTCTTCTACTGTCAGGAAAACAACCTTAGCTTCTCCTGTGTGTCCAGACAATGAATTTCTTTGAACCTGCTATCATTATGGCTAAACATCTGCATCCTCTCCAAGGCCTTAATATCCACTCTAATGTATAGAACCTAGACTGAACACATAGTACTCCAGCTGGAGCCTAGCCAGTGTTTCTTTCAATCCATGTTTAGCATAATTTGCTTTTGTACTCTAGATAATTTCTAATCAACCTGTTCAACGATGTTATTACACACCTCTCAAGCAGGTGGGGCTTGAACCTGGACCTCCTTGTCCAGAGGTAATGACACTATCACTGCACCGCAAGAGTCCTTCGTTTTGTATTCTATTCCTCTATTAATAAACGCAAGGGTAACAACCTTCTCAACTTGGCCTGCTGCAATTTAAATATTTGTAATTAAACACTCCCATTAGTGTTCCTGTTATTGCAGCTCCTTTCAGGTTATACTGCCTTCCCTTATTCTTCCTACTGAAATATATCACTTTGAACTTCTCTGTGTAATGTTTTATATGCTGTGTGCGTACCCATTTCACCGGTATGTCTATCAGGTTTGCCCAAAATTTCTGTAACACGATACATCAATTTTTGTCTCACTGATGGGGCTAATAAGAAAATTTCAGTTTTCCACAACAATAAACATAAATTTCAAGAAATGAAACAATTCCAAAGCAATAGATTGATAATTTAAATGAATAATTAATTTTAAAAAATAAAAATGCCATGTAGCAAAGCAGATGGGAGGCGATTCTGTTGTAATAATGTCACTCGTCTTGTAAGCCAGCACCCCAGAGTAATGTTCTGGAGGCATGGGTTCGAATCCCATCACAGCAGATGGCGACATTGGAGTTTCATAATTCAGGAATTTTTAAAAAAATAATCTAACAACAAAATAATAAAGGTTCTTTTTTGCCTTTTTGGTTTAGAAGCAGAGTTAGAGAGAGAAAGGCACTGGTCTTGATCACCAGGGAAGGGGATGAGACCAAGGTCAAGCAAAGGATTTGGTCATTCAGAATTTGAGTATTGCTCAAGAAACACACATGTTTACAAAGCTTTACTTCTTGCATTTATCAGGAAATTTTGCAAGAATAGCAATTCAAGAGGAAAACCAACTTTTATGCAACCTGAAAAGAGAGTGCTGATTCATTGGTCAGTGAACTCGGCTAGAGGCAATGCCCTGCAGAATACACCAATTGATAATTGCCAATCAACTGCCAGGCTTTATTTGAATATTAAACCAAACAGGTTAACTCTAGTCAAAGCATTGTCCAGAGAAACGAAGCAGGAAAATGGCAATCGTGTTTAATTGAGTTGAAACAAGTACAGTAAGTTTTCATGTTCTTTTTCTCCGTTGTGTATTAATACATATAACTTTAGTACACGCAACATTGGGCTGACTAATAAATTTGCTAGCAGCATCAGCCCTTGAGCACAGTGTACGTTTCTTTCTTTCATGTCCTCCCCAGGCCACTGTCTCCCACTCCTCATTCCACAGGCTCTCCGCTCTAGTTCCAGGTCTTGGGCTCAGTGAAAACACTCACATTGCACTGCTCGTCCAATCACAGATTGGTCTTGTCCCACATTTACTGCAAATACAGAAGAGAAATTGCCTTTGATTGGAGGAGCAGCACCTTTCAAACGCTTCTGGATTTTGAACATGCGCTCCACAGGCCATGAAGGGCCTCTTGGCAGGCCACATGGTGGACCGTGGACAAGCCTGGTCTATATCCTCCTAAATCTGTTACTGTTTCCTGCAGTTCTGAGCTTCGTATCATTTGCAAATCTTTAAATTCTCTTTGTACCCAAGATTGGACATTAACATTTGTACTAAAAAATAGCATAACCCCTGGGGATCACCACATTATACCATCTGTGTGATAAATAATTGACCACTGCTGTCTGCATTCTACCTGTTAACCAATTTTGAACCTGTGCTGTCGCTTTTAATCCTGTGACCTTTTAATTGTTGAACTTTTAAATAGAACTCTTATCTTTTGACCTGTTCAAAAACTGGAAGTATTTCTGAACTACACCTTTGCGCAGTGCAAATAAACACCTTGTGAATACATGGATCATTTATTCATCTCATCTGTAACATTACCAGTCACTCAAGCATACATCCAAAAGCAAATTGAATAGATGGTTTTCTATCCCATCGTCTGACTCAATAAATATAGTAAACACAGTTGAGGGCCCAACACAGCTTTGCAGGGCATTCCTTGTCACATGATAAGATAACAAATCCTTGATAAGGGGCTGCCTATTATTTGCCATTCTCTGTCTCCAGCTATTCATCCAATTTCCTAACCAGGTCAAGAATTTGTTTTCAATTCTATAATGTCAGCTTTCCCACTCAGAGAAGTTTGCAAATGTTCAGCTAGAAAATCAAAGGGAATTTAAAAGGGCATCCCTGCTTATTAAGATTTTTTCTCCTTATTAATCAGAACATTATCAGTCAACTAATTTATTTTGCTGTCTTCCTCCTTATCTGTTACTGAAAAGATTGATATGTAATGTTAATGCCTTGGAGCTGGACAATATTCTTGGTTCTTTGTTCAAAGATAATAGACTCAGTAGCCATGCTATTTAATTTCTTTCTTACAAACTCTAATGAAGGTTTGAAGAAATAAGTTAACTTTGAGTTTGACTTAAACTTGTTCCAAAAGCAAATCATATTGCAACTTTGTAATTAATGAAGAAAGATTAAAGTGTCTTTAAACTTTTTTTTCAGTGCAGTCCCAGTAAAATTGTTATTAAGCAGGATCTCAAGTAAAGTTATCAATGAACAGGTGGGATAATGGACATTGGGCTGGCTTTTGGTCCAGTCAGGATGACTTGGGAGCCCTTTAAAACGGTGCGTGTGTCTCTATTATGAGAATACTGACCCATTCCCTGGGTTTTCCAATTTTACAGAGAGCCTTATGAGAGTACAGACTTATTCAGTCCAACTGGCCTGCCGGCTCCTTCACATGCCCTCGCCATCCACAATTTTCAAGAGTCAGACCACTCTTTCATGCATCGTGCTTCAAGGCACACAGGGGGTGTAGCAAACTAGGGCATTTTTTGAAAAGTAAGTTCAAAAGATTCTCCTCATGTTAACCCCCATGCAAGGCTGTGCCCTCCAAACAACCCTAATAGCCCTTGATGTCACTATACCAAGCTGTGACTCCCTTCCACCCATTGTGCACTCCCCATGTCCATTCACTGACTGTAAACTGTATAGCACCAAATGTGTAAAGAAAACTACAAAAAAGATCGTTCATTCACTATTTTATACTTTTCTTAAAAAAAACTTGTACTACAGCTCAATAAAAGTGTCAATCATTCTGACCCTTTAAAGGGTCAAGTACTAAAACCACATGTCGTTTAAACCTTTTTAAGCTTATGTAAATGAACATTATGAATTGGAACTACCAAATATTCAGGAACTCTGGTGTTTCAACAGAGTAACGAATGTTGGACTCTCAGCCAAGTTTCCTTATGTACTGTTGCTGATTGCCTCAAGGATGAAAATCCAAACTGTTGTTCCTGTATTAGAAACACCCTTTTAAAGAAGCAAACTTATGGTGATGAAGTACATTCCTTATGAAGGCATTGGTTTGGCCACAGTCAGTGCATTGAGTCCAGTTCTGAACATTCCACTAAATCCATGAAAAACGTTCTGCTGATGATCTACTATAATATCAAGAATAAAAGTTATGATTATGAGAAACTTTAAAAAATTGGGCTTTTTCTTTTGCAACAGAAAAAGCTAAGGCGACAAGTAATCTTATAGATATTTAACAATGGTATGTAGAAGTGTAATAAGTAATGGATTGTATGATAATTTGGTAACCAGGGGCACAAACTAAGAATTATCACATTCACCGTCACTTTTAAATCTGCAGATATATCAAGATGAAGATCTCTTTCAGCATTTCCCTCCAGAATGCCCAGTCTCTCTATTATCTTATTATCCAGAAATCTTGTGACTCCATATTCAAGTAAAACATTTGCAAAGTCTTGTCATCTTGTTCATCAGTTGGTTGTAGGGTGACCAGGAATGGGAACACTATATTGAAGAGTATTCAATGTTCCAGAATAGGTGAAAAGGAGATGAGGTAGCTGTGTTACTAAAGGAAAGTATTAATACAATGGTGTGTAGTGAGAAGGGTAGAATAGATCATGATGTGGAATCAGTTTGGGTGGAAATAAGGAACAGCAAGGGAAAGAATTCACAGATGGGAGTTTTCTATTAGCACTGCACAGTTCCAAACTGTATAACAAATTATAAGTCAGAAAATGATGGAGCATGTATAAAAGGCACTACAGTTGTCATACAGAATTTCAATCTGCATATTGACCACACAAATCTTACTGCAGGTGTGCCCTAGAATTATAAAATCCCTACAGTGTGGAAGTAACCCATTCAGCCCATTGAGTTGACACTGGCCCTCGGAAGAGCATCCACCCAGACCTACCCCCTACCCTATCACCCTGCATTTCCCATGGCTAATCCACCTAGCATGCACATCCCTGGACACTATGGGGCAATTTATCACAGCCAATCCACGTAGCCTGCACATCTTCAGGCAGTGGGAAGAAATTGGAGCAAATCCACACAGACACAGGAAGAACATGAACTCCACACAGACACCTGAGATTGGAATTAAACCCAGATCCCTGACGCTGTGAGGCAGCAATGCTAACCAGTTTGCTACCATGCTGTTCCATCATTTGTTACAATTAAATTTCTTAAGTTATCTGCTGTGTTTGGACGCAAAAAAAAGGGTGAACCTT